ATTTAATATTAAATCACTCCTTTCCTTTGAAGTTTTAAACTCCGTAGAGATTCAAAGCTCGAACAGTGTTATGAAGCTGCTCGGCGCCATTTTGAATGTCTCTTTAGCAAGTAAGATATCAGAAGGAATTCTTGTAAAAAATGAACCTAAGGATTAATACAAACAATTAAAAGTTCACATGTACAGGGTCTGCTCGCCTTGGATTCAGTAAATCAAATTTTGTTCTGAGGATTTGAGGTTTTTGCTTTGTGCTGCTAATCGCAGCAGGAATTCCTGGCACGGAGACAATTCTGCCGTCGGCTGGCCTCCCCCCCCCTCCCAGAGACGATCTGTGAGAGTTAGTTGGCACGTTGCCTGGCACAATTAGGCTCACCTTATCTTCTTGGCCCGAAGAAAAGGTAAACAAGCTGTCAGATGGCTGATGGATTGCTCATCCGACAGATAAACGCGACCAGGATTCTGGAGCTGTAACGACCAGCTCCCACCAGCAAGCCCCCTCAAACCGGAAGTTTACATTTTTGAGTCCTTTCTAAAGAGTAGCTCAGTAAGAAAATTGTCCAGTAGAGACTTACTGATCAAATATAACAGACTTAGGCTTAGGAGAAATATTTCCTCTCCCTGGATGCATTGAACAGAACATTCTCAATGCATAACATAAGAGTGCTAGATTGAATTCACTGACATTTTCAACGGATAGAACCAAATTCATGAGTTTCTTTTATTGGGAACAGTCATATTAGATGTAGTATTTTTCCGGCTGCTCTTTCTTTTTAGTCTCCCACCAAAACTTAGAAATTAGAAATATTTTTTTAGCTCTTCTTATGGCTTATAAGATTTCTTTTCGGGTTTAACTCACTTTTTAAATTAAGGTTATTCAAAATGTACCACAAATCCTTGAGTTCAAAAGAGAAATAGATGTTAAGCTTTACCAAAAAAAATGACCTTGGCTTTTAGACTGACAGTGATAAAAGAGAACACCATACAAATTGTCACAATTCATAACCATAAAGAAAGGGAGAAAAGTAAACAAGTTAAAAAAATGGTATCAATCACCAAACAGTAACAGTAACTCTAAAGAAACTAAACTGCAATAACAAACTATTTACTATTTACTGAAGTTATTCTAACACAATTGAAAAGAACATGAAATCATGTGTAGATTAGCCTTGTTTCACACTGTACCAGTTAATGAAGGCTCAGAGAAGGAGTCAAGACAACCAGTGTGGAGGTTGTCCAAGGACAGAGAGATCTCACTATTGGTAAGAAAAATACAGAGCAGACTCAAGAAATAAAAGGGCAGAACTTTAATAATTCTACTTGTGAAAATCTCAAATCTTCCCTCTATCCCCAATTTACAACCATTCATTTAATAATGGCTCGAAGCTATGACAGCCTCAGAAAAAGTAACTTACAACTTATCCTTGACATTATGATCATCACACTATCTCTGCAGCCATGTGATTGGGTGCCTGTCAGCCAGCTGGCATTTATAATGGTTGCAGCACCTTGTGCTCACATGATTGTGATTGATGTCATTCTCAGATGGCTTCCACCAAGGAAAATCAATTGGGAAACATTTACTTAACAACTGTGTGAATCATTCAACAATTGTGGGGTTCATTTAATGATGACAATAAAAATGGTCATAAAATTAGGTCAGGTTACATGATGACTTGCTTAACAACCACATCCTTTCACAACTAAAATCCTGGTGTCACTTGTGATTATAAGCTGAGGACTATCTGAGTTTTGATATCCCAGACATTTCTTACACAATGCTATTACTTCTCTCTCTTTAAATTAGCCTTCTGCTTTTTGGTGCCATTCAGATTTGTTTTATCACAACTCCTAGACTCAATAGTTAATAACCACAGGGAATAGAGGAGTTATCTCTCAGTTCCCAGGAAACTATTAGATTGGGGAACATTGCTCTAAATGCTGCATATTAAATATTACCCTGTCCAGCACAATACCTGTTTGAGTGTCAGATAAAATGCAGCAGTGGCTCGAGCCATCTCAGGGAGGACAACAGGAATCTTCACAAGTCTCTCTGAAAAGACAGTTAGGATCTGCCCAGCTTTCTTCACCCATTCTTCACAGTCAGTATAGCTCGCTGCCCGGAGCAGATTAGAAACTGCAACAGAGTTGGGGCTGGGTTCTGCACCATCTTGATCTATAACAAAGGTCAGTAAATGAACTATTTTTTGAACCAAAAAGAATGTACACACTTTTTAATGAAAGGATTATTTTTGTAATGCTCTGATATCTTCTGGACTGTAAAGCAGAAATGGGAAATGGGGGCGCAACGGGGAACCAATTAACATTGTGTCATCACAATACAAGGACAGTCCCTTTTTGAATGGACATTGTGACAAATACAAAGGAAGTGCAGCTTGCATTCCACTTTCATGACATGTTTTCTCAGTTTCTTTCTCAACTGTTAAATTCTTCAATGTTTCATCCTTAAGAGATGCAATTTCTTGACTTCCTGGGCGGGACCTTGCTGATGGTAGCAGCTTAACAGAGCTGCTCCCGAGTTCCTGGTCGCGTTATCTGTCTAGACATCTGACAGGTACC